ACTGAATATGTTTCAATTCTCCTCTTTCTTTTCTCCTCTCTCAATTACTTTGTCTCATAGATCGAAACTTCCAATCATGGATTTTAAGATGAACTATTGCTAGAAATCAACATATAGTTAAGTATGTTTGGACATCAACATAGTTAACTATGTTTGGACTAACTATGATAATAGTTAACTATGAATGTTTTGTTTTTCATTATAAAATGTAACCATGTTTTTATAATTGGTAACTATGTAGTCAACTATATCATGTTATGCTATAAATATAGTTAAATATATTTTCAAATTGGTAACTATTTTCTAAAAATTAGTTTACTATGTTTTTGTATAGTTACAAAATAGTATGATGTATTTAACTATATTTTGAGATCAATTGAATATGTATTTTTGAAAATAGTTCACTAGGTTATTAAATAGTCAACTATTTTATAAATCGGTAGAGTAGACAACTATGCTTTGAAAATAGTTAACTATACTTTAAAATTGATAATTATTTTCAAAAAAATAGTTAACTATGTTTTATATTTTAGATAGTTACGACTACAATAGAATGTATAGTTTCCGAAATAGTCAACTATGTTTTTAAATTTTAATTCTTACTACATATTTAATTGTCAACTATATCATCTTCTTCTCGTACGTGTTATCTAACCCATTTTTTTTTTGTAGAGCAAACTCATTTTTTCAGAGATTTAAAGCATTTTTCCAAAAATAAAATACTTTGATTGACAATGGAATTTTATGAGTTTTAGATTTACTATAATATTTTTTTTAACCATTTTCCATTTTAACTTAATTAAGGGCATTTTTGTCCATGTTGAACAATAATTTGCTATTCACCTAATTTCCAATCACTAGATGTTACTCACCTAATTACATGTACAAAGCATAATACTCACCTAATTAATTTTTTGTAATGATTAAATGATTTATTGGCTAATTAAAAACTAATGGCTCGAGGAAAAACAAGATAATGGCGATAATTGTCACATTATTCGCTTGTTTTGTTTGGGAAAAATATGCAATTCGTTTGAGAAGCCTACTTAAAAATCTGGAGAATCAAAGATGTTCAACATTTTCTTTTATATGGTCATCCTCGTCTCTAGAATTAGTTAGGTTGTCAGACGGGGATGATCGTATAACTGAGTAATTGAACTCACCTCTTGATGTAAGATTGGAAGGTGCCCGTAGCATACCTAACGCAAACCAC